CTACACCGGGGGACCCCCAAGAGCGCTCTATACCGGATATGGTTCAATGCCTACTTGACAACCTGAACGGATGAGTTAGGTTGGGAGAAGGCCAAAAAAAACCCCGCAACGCTGGCAGGCGTCCGGGGCTATGGCGTCACCTGTTAGAGAGGTTCCGCATGTCACCACCCTACCAACCCGCCCTGTTTGAGTCCAGCCTTCCAAAATGGCTGGCCTGCACCGATGAACTGGCTGCCGGCATCCAGCACCACCCACGCCAGAAGGCCCTCAAACGTGCCTACATCGACCCCAACCCCTCGGCGCTGGTTTGGGCCATGGTGTTCGACGTGGACCGCCCAGAGGCCGCTACAGCGTGGCAGGATGCCCCTACGGAGTGCCCTCGGCCCAACTGGGTCACCCAGAACCCCCGGAACGGTCATGCGCATCTGGGCTACGTGCTGGCCTCTCCGGTGTCCAGGACACTGAAAGCACGGGCGACCCCTCAACGGTTCTTGGCTCGCATTCAGCACGGCCTGACCATGGCCCTCGATGCGGACAGGGCCTACACCCACCGGCTGACCAAGACCCCCGACCATCCCACCTGGCGCACATTTTGGGAGCGCCCTGACCCCTACGAGCTGGGGGAGTTACGTGACTACCTTGGCGACCGTCTGCCGCTGCGTATCGCACGACTGGAAGCGGTGGGGGAGGGGAGGAACGTCACGCTGTTCGATGGCCTGCGGAAGTGGGCATATCGAGCACGGTTGGGCTACTCGGATTGGCACCTGTGGGAGCGTGCTTGTCGCTCCCACGCTGACGCCTTAAACGCCTTTGCCAGCCCACTCACAACACGAGAAGCGCATCAGGTGGCCAAGAGCGTTGCCAAGTGGACGTGGACCAACATCACGCCAACCGCTTTTTCAAAAATACAGGCAGAAAGAGGAAGCCAGAACGGAGCGAATAAAAAAATCGCTGCGATGGATTTCACCGCTGAAATTGTGAGGTATGCCCGATGATGCCCGTTCGCCAAAAACGAAAAAAAACCGCCAAGGAAGTCGCCAAACATTTTGGCGTATCGGAACGCACTGTCCGCAACCACATGGCGGAGGAACGGGACACCTACGAAGCCCGAGCAGACTACCGGCGCAATCTGGCCGGGACCATGCGAGCGCAAGGGAAATCATGGGCTGAAATCGCCGCGGCGGTTGGGGGCAGCGAATGGTCTGCCCGTGCGTTGGTGAGGCGCTATCGCACCTCACTGGCGGAGCCTACCGGCCCCGCCCCATCCCCCACCCCTTGCGGGGCGGGGTTGTGATGGGAGGGGAAGGGGAAAGGCCCTGACGGGCCACCCTCCGGGCTTTGAGCATGGTTACGAGGTCCACCATCACCCTGCGGAACCGGTCAACAACCACACCACGGGCCTGCATGGCGAACGCCTTCGGCCCTTGATGTTGGGTCGGTTCGCGGTCGATGCCTTGGGCCTTCAACGAGCGGTGGTCAATGCGTGCTGGTGAGTTGGCCAAGGTCAACGCATGGTTGGCATAGCGTGCCCATTCGGCTCGCCAATGGTCTAGGTATTGCTTGTCATTCCAGTCGCGGTTTTTATTTTTGAACCCGTCCTGGTCAATGTCTCGCATCGTGGTCATCAGGTGGAAATGGGGGTTGTCTCCACCGATGTGATGGAAAGCAATCGTTGCACACATGCCCCGGTCAACGAACTCTTTTTGGACGAACGCACGGGCCAGCGTGGCACACTGCTGGGGGGTCAGTTCGCGGGGCAGGGCAATGTCGAACTCGCGGCAAAGTTGAGCGTCTTTGCGCTTCTCGATGGTCTCCACATTGGCCCACAACTGAGCCGGGTCCGATGCCCAAGCCGGAGCGTTGTCGGGGGCAAGCGTCAGCGAGCCAGACACGCCACCCTTGCGGCTGAAATCATGGCGCAGGCCGGTGCGAGGATCTTCCAACGCAACGCCAAGGCGATAGGCAGCAGCAGCAACGGACGAACGTCCTTCGCTGCGCTTTATCACCTGTGCGTGGAGGTGGAAGATTGCCATGTTTTGCTGTTGCTCCTGTTGTGGTTTTTGCTTTGCTCTTAGCCCCGCAGGGCGCACACATCGCGAAGCGATGTATAAGTGCGCTATTGCTGGTGCTTCGCTTCGCTCTGCGCAATAGATTTTGGGCTGCTCGCTTCGCTCGCTTGCGCCCCTCTTTCATTCAAGCAGGCTTTGCGATTTCGTCAATGCAGTCTTGCCAGCGTCGGATTTTTTGTTACTCGTTAGGGAACATCACAACGAGGAAAAAAATCCATGACGACTAAAACACCAAGCCAACGCATTGCCCTGCTCGAAGCGAAGTTAGCGAGAGCCAAGGCCGACGAACGCAAGCAACGAACACGGCGGCTCATCGAAGTGGGCGCAATGCTGGAACCACTCGGCGAACGGGTAGCCGCTCTGACCGCTGAGCAACGGAAATATTTCATCAGTCGAGTGCTGGCCAACTGGGAAGCCTTGATGGGAACCAAGGGGAACAATCAGCACCAGGGCGATGCGTAAGCAGTGCCCTAGTGCGTCCTGCAGCCGCCATTTTTCGTGATGCGCCCGATTTTGGTTTGCCTACACCCAAAAGCGGGTATGGCTTTCCTCAACCCCGGAAAAGCCCCCTTCGGGGCTGGGGGAGGGGGTAAGG